CAATATACACAAAGGGAAAAGCAAGATTCTTCGATACAACACAACATGTACCAATCCAATCACAATTGACGGAGAAGCTTTGGAAGATGTAAAAACCTTTACATATTTGGGCAGTATCATCGATGAACACGGTGGATCTGATGCAGATGTGAAGGCACGGATTGGCAAAGCAAGAGCAGCATATCTACAACTGAAGAATATCTGGAACTCAAAACAATTAGCAACCAACACCAAAGTCAGAATTTTCAATACAAATGTCAAGACAGTTCTACTGTATGGGGCGGAAACCTGGAAAACTACGAAATCCATCGTCCAAAAGATACAGGTGTTTATTAACAGTTGTCTACGCAAAATACTTCGGATCCGTTGGCCGGACACTATTAGCAACAACCTACTGTGGGAGAGAACAAATCAGATCCCAGTGGAGGAAGAAATCAGGAAGAAGCGCTGGAAGTGGATAGGACACACATTGAGGAAAACACCGAACTGCGTCACAAGACAAGCCCTCATATGGAACCCTCAAGGTCGAAGGAAGAGAGGAAGACCAAAGAATACATTACGCCGAGAAATGGAGATAGATATGAGAAAAATGAACAAGAATTGGATGGAACTTGAAAAGAAGGCCCAGGACAGAGTGGGTTGGAGAATGCTGGTCGGCGGCCTATGCTCCATTGGGAGTAACAGGCGTAAGTAAGTAAGTAAGTAAGATGGAAATGCTGGTTACTGCACGTTTATTCAACATTAGATAAACCGGATGAATAAATTCATACATAAAATTAGTAATTAAAACAATCATTCTTTGTTCTTGAATCATTTTTTGGTTCTTTTATTTGTATGTTTGTGTGTGTGTGTGTATAAACGAGAACAGTATGAATCAATCATCTGTACTTAGCAAACATCATTCAATGTGTCTATTTTTATTGGCTTAGTAATTAATTTACATGTATGTGGGTGGTTCGTTGAAAAAAAAACTTATGCACGAAATAAGAGACTTGACGGAAAAAGAAAAGAGACAATAGCAAAATACGTTGAATTGTGCAAGGTCAAGGACAATGTCTACAAATACCCCATACATATACGTGTGTGTATTTTTCTCTTGTCATTTTTTTTAAACTGTCTTACATAAATATGTGTATATCAAGTTTTATGTATATATATATCCTCACGGATTCTGAAAGCTTGGCATTTGTTAGCTTACCTCATTTGTGGTATACGCGAGATATTTGTTTGCCAAACAAAAGAGTGTATAGTGTATGGCAGTTCGCTCTCCTGTGCTCTATGTCTGTGTAACACGATCTGTGAAAGGAAAAGACGCACATAGACTGTAGATCATGGGTGCCTTCGAAGAATTCGTTACGTTTCTTGGAATACCCGAGTTAGAAGTTATAAGGCTATACATATTGTACTTGGCAAAAATGAAAAATCAGTTAACAATGTTATGAATTCTTGTCGATTTGAGGTGAATAAGACATGTTATGTAAACCCAATCACTGCCTACTTCGAATCGTGATGCTTGGTAGTTTAGAAGTAGGTTGGAAGTAATCTAGGCGTGACTAAACCAAAATATGACATCACCTAACATAGTCACTGACTGTTGATTTAAGTGTGTAACATTGAAAACTACCAACTCTGTGATGTGAAGGCTGAAAGCTCATCTCAATATACCAATATCCCGCGTTTAATTCCTTGTATATTTGAAGGGACACACTCTTGACGGGGTTCCATTTTGCATCGCTCTTTAATTTTCATTAGTATTCCAACTAATATCCGGCATTACTTACAAATAGAAATCAATCTCATCAAAACTTAATGCCTCTGAATAATTACTCACTTGTACAGTATGTATCTAATACTCAACATTTAGTCTTCTAGACATTGGACTTGTTTGGCTAGATTCCAAATTTTTTGTAAATAAAAATAGAAGGTTACTTTTATGGTTTATACTACTTATGACGACAGACATAAGTAACATGTAACACTCGTCAAAATTAGAAGGTTGAAAAAATCAAATCGATAAGAATGGGAACAGTGAGTAATTATATAATAGCAATGAATAAACGATTGAGTTTAAGACACTTGATGGAAGATATGCAATTGACGTATTCTATGTATGGTTTTTTATATTTTTACGAAAGCACTCACCTAAGCCTCCTTCACTACACTATCCATCGATTGATTGGTATCCAAAATGAATACTATTTAATTGACCTTAGACAATAAATTTGGAGGGAGAGAGAGAAGAAAAATGCTTAAAATTTATCTTATGGATCAACTGTTTACATTTATTTTCACAATATAGACTTCATAATTAGAACATCTATAATTTAATTATTAAGTTGAATATGTTTCAAACTATCGTCTTATTTCATCATATTACACGATTGAGTAGTATAGATATATATGTATGATAGCTTTTACATAAACATAGTTAAACTAAACCATTCCTGGAATTTACTTACTAATAATATTTTTATTTAATGATACTAATAATTGTAATAGTTGATCACCATGGAAAACCTAGAAGCACTGGACGGCCGTCTCGTCCAAGTGTGGGATTCCTCCTTGGCAGTGTGTATCCACGCTCCCGCCTCGCGAGATTCGAACCCAGCTCTTATCAGCGCCTAATCATTAGACCACTGAGCTGGCCGGTATTCAACAGTGGTAATGTCTAACTCCAACTAATCCATGAAATTGAGTAACCCATTCACCATTGTCTTTATTGAGTTACTATCTCACAACAGACCTGGTTGAACTCCACTGGTCACTACTTATTACTAGAACTTCAGGATATGTGAATTAAGTTGGTACTTTAGGATTTACTACTTCATACTCATAGTGCACTACATGATATTTATTTATTTGAACATATAAATATTGATACAAAGAGGCGCTGAATACACACAAGTCTCTTTATTTTGTGTGTGTGGGCTGTGATATTGTCCGGGTGTTCAGACTGACAACATGATATTTCGCAAATATACATACAAATATACCAAACTTTTTAATGGACAAACGAATACAATAGAAGGAGATTTTGATTAACAGTAGTATTTAAAACTCATCAGTGGAATGTATAATACATTTAATCATAAAAATTTATAACATATAATGTTTATCATTAGTCATGTCTTCATGACACCATTTTTTATTGCCTAATATACTTGATATATGAACTCTATGGTTTTTACAAATGATAAACTCGATGATAAGTGTACAAACTACTTTAGTGGTATTCTTGATTGTTTGTATAATTAGATTCTTAATAGATTATAAAAGGGTAAATACATACGATTAATAGTATCTATTTATTTATTTGAACATAAAGATATTGTTTCAAGGGGACACCAAATACTTATGTGCCACACAAATCTCATTTGATTTGTTTGAGGTCTGTGATACAGCCTGGGTTATCAAACCGAAGCAGGTGGTTTTCGTAGGGGACCACACCAGAAGCCTTCGACCTAAAAGTCTGATCCACAAGGCAGTGGAGCATCGTAACCAAATGGAGTTCACGGTAGTTGGTGACCAACGACTGGTTTATACGCCATTTGTTCCCTCAGAGTACTGGAGCCCATGTGCACTATTTGTTTGAAATCAGGGTTTTCCAACTGTTCCTGTTCACTAACCCGGTTAATGCGCTGGATATTCGCTTTTCGTCCTCTCAATTTCGTGAACAACACCTCCGCTACGAGAAGGCAGTGAATAGGACTTCCCTGGCAGAGACTGTATACGCATAACTATGTTGGAGCATTTCGAGAGGGAGCGCTTACTCTCTCCACTCTCTGTTTTACTAGGGCATGAGATCAATAGACATAATTAGTTGATCTAAACTGAACTGAAACAAGGATTTCTTTTATGATAATTTCAAATTTCAAATATATCATATCCGTGAATTATTTTACTATACAGTTCTTGATTTGCATTAACCAACCTAATTACAATACAAATTACCTTAAGTAAATGACGTCATCAACTTTTGACAAATTCTCTCCTTCCCCCCCCCTCCAGAATACTCTTATTCTTTGTTCTTTCTATTTTTAATCAGTCTACTTTTGGACAGATAAAAGTTTTATTAACTGATGTACATTTCACAATCAGTTTGTTTCGATGTCTGTTTCTGTGTGTGTGTGTGTGCGTGTACATTATAATTATTACAATAAAATCTAATAGACTGCTAGTCCATATTATTTTTTATTATTTTACATTTGTATGTATCCATGCCAATTTATGTGTAGACATCTATAGACACATAAATGTACACACACACACACACAAACACCTTTGTAACTTATTGATTGATTCACATAGTAACATTTTTACAAACAATCCTTTTTTTTTTGGTGATACACTAATAATAACTATAAAGATTCGGAATAAAAGGCATAGACAAGATAAACCATCAATTGCTAGAAATGAAGTCAATGAAACATTGTCAAATCTACTTGATAATGTTAATAGAATCATCATTAACACAATAAAAATAGAATAGTACTACTAACACTAACAGTAGTAGTAGTACAATGTTTAGGTAACTGTTTATGTGTGTGAGGCTGATAGGTCCTGCGTTCATATCTCGCGAGGCGGGATCGTGGTTACATGAGATTTGAACCCAGGATCTATCAGTCTCACGCGTAAGCGCTTAAGCATTAGACCACTGAGCCAGCATCTAACGGTTTTAATGTCTAACTTCAACCAATCCACCAAATTGCACCACCGTACACGATTGTCTTCAGTAAGCTGATATCTCACAACAGATCTAGTCATGGCTTCTCACTAGAACTCCAGTGCTTCCAGATTTTCCATAATGGTCTAGCTTCAATTGACTCATGATGTCAACTATTGAAATTACTAAAATCTCTTCTAATAACTTATATCAGTTTTTATGTATTCATAACACAGATCCTTGTTAAATTTCTATGACCAATCGATTAATTAACACACTATTGAAAATGTTACCGTATATGTTAAATGCTTAAATTTTCTTTTATTTTTTTCCACAGGTTGATCTCAATGAACATACATCAGGTGTACATATAGTCAATAAGGATAAGAGTAACTCGTTAGTATCTGATACTGTACAACTTTTACAAGAAGTAAGTATGGTTATGATTAAAATTAAATTATTAAATGATTATCATTAGTATTATTATTACTCATATCATTAGTGGTGGTAGTAGTGGTTATAATCACTAATTATACTTTCACTACCTCTACCACTACGGGATTTGAATCGATAACTGAATCTCTGTGCTAATGTGGTGTGGTAACTCGAACTGATGTACGTAAGTACGAAGTTCTACGTTGTTACTGACTGACTGAGTGGTTATAATATCAATATAAATAATTCATTTCATATTGGATCCAGTTCAAGCCTCAGTCAGTTGATCACAGCATTGAACATGATATGTATATAGATCGGTTCATATTCTCGTACCCTATTATCTCTGTCCAAATAGTAGAGGTAGTAATAGTATCGGTGATAATATCTATCGAACATATGGCTCTAAAAGAAAATATAAATTATTGAAATAAAATCAAGAATTTAGAAGCTCAGAATTCAAAGGAAGACAATGAATGGATTCACCTGCATAATTTCAGACAAATTCAAAGTCTCTAACCATTGGTTACGATAATCACGCAGACTTCAACTATAGGTAGTCTACATCCATCAACATGGTTCAGTCCAGTTTTCAATGACATTGTTGACCCTGACTAAGAACTAGGTAATAAAAAAATGTCATGATAATGAAACATTTTCTAACGAAACTGCAATTTAATTATGAGTAATTGAGAAGTTTTGACATGAATAATGAAACTTTTCATGAGAGTTATTTCTTACAGTATACTTACTTACGCCTGTTACTCCTAAGGGAGCATAAACCGCCGACTTAGGCTCCAGTATACAGATAAATGGATATATATGTGTTTAGTTCTCTTCCATGCCCCCCAAATGCCCTGGTACGGTCGAGAGTGGAGAGAGTCCGCTCTCCCTCTCGGAATGCTCTCACATGGCCATGCGTATATAGCCACTGCCAGGGATGTCCTACTCGCTGCCTTCTCGTACCATGGGTGTTGTTTAAAAAATTGGGCGAAAAGCGAATGTCCGGCGCTTTAACCGGATCCCAAACCAATGGTGCACATGGGCTGCAGTATCCTGAGGGATCAAATGGTGTATGAACCAATCGTTGGTCACCGGCTACGATGGGACTGCATCTTCTTACGATGCTCCACTGCCTTGTGGGTCAGACGTTCAGGTCGAAGGCTCGAGGTGTGGCCCCCTAAGAAAACCATCTGCTTCGGTTTGGGCACCCGAGCAGTATCATCGCCCTCACACAAATCAATTGAGATTTGTGTGGCGCATATGTATTTGGTGTCCCCTTGAAACAATATCTATGTGTTAAAATAAATAAAAATAATTTTCTCTTCCATAAAGTTTGGTACCACCTCAAGTACTTTCAAGCTACCTCACAACACTCATGAATTCCGATTCCTAGTATTTTCTCTTAATGAAAAATAATAATACATTTCACATCGTTATTCTAAGAATTGTTCGAAGTTGTTTCAATTCACTTTGACCTTCATCATGTTAATTCGTTTTTTATTAGCATTAGACAAGCTATCCATTACTATACTTTATAACTAGTCAATAGCCACTGTCTTTATTCTGACTAATTGATCAGGATCATCCATATGATTAACTCTTTTTATACAATCAGTGCAAAAATGTAAGATTATCTAGTCAGTTAGAAAATCAAAAAGAAACATACCCATGTAAATCATTGAGTAGAAATGAATTAAAATAAATCAATAAAAGTGTTAGTTACATTTAATAATAACTGTACAATTTTTGTGGTTGGTAATTAAACAAAATAATAACTAATCTGAGATCAAATTAAATTAGTGATAAACTAAAATTGATTAAGATCTTGAAGTCATTGATGTTAGACTAATATTAAAAACCTGGAAGCATTGGACGGTCATTTCGTCCTATTGTGGGACTCCTCAGTAGTGCACATCCACGATCTTGCTTGTGAGATTCGAACCCAGGGCCTTCAGTCTCACGCGCGAACGTTTAACCTACTTGACCACTGAGCTGGCATCCAACAGTGTTAATGTCTAACCTCAACCAATCCACTGAATTGTGCGACCATCTTCCATTGTACTGAGATAGGCAGGTATCAATCTACGTGTCTCTTCCCGACACAAAATAACCCCACTGGTTATGGCTACTCACAAGAACTCTGAGAATTCCCTCAAGAAGTTAATCAAATCTCGCGAGTGGGATTGTGGATACGCACTACTGAGAAGTCTCACAATAAAACGAAACGGCCGTCCAGTGCTTCCAGGTTTTTAATGGTGGTCTAACATCAATCGGTTCAAGATTTCAAACAATAACTTAACAATTACCAAAACTCTATACTGATAAACTAAAATGTCATTTGCTGATTCATACTTATCGGTCAAGACTAAGAGATTATAACCAAGGGGTTGTGATAGATCAACAGTTCCCAGTTCTGTACATTGTTTTTTTTTTTATTTTACAATACAATAACATAAACTGACGTCCTCTTAAGCAAATTCCAAACTAGTTATCTTTCATAAATATATGATCGAATGATCCTGTAGGGATTCATTTATTAAAGTTCAAATGTTAATTCTTCTGTTGAATCAACATCAATTTGCGAATATCTTTATAAAAAAAAAACAACGGTAAATATTTTGTATCATGGATTCAAGATTAAACTATCAAATCGTAATTGCTAGTGCGATCAAGGTTGATTTGCCACGGTATGGGCGAGGGTGGAATGAGTTAGCTCTCCCTCTCGAAATTCTGTCACATGGCCATGCGTATACAGTCTCTGCCAGGGAAGTTCTACTCACTTCTTTCTTGTGGTAGGGGTGTTGTTTACGAAATTGAGAGGACGAAAGTGAATGTCCGACGCTTTAAGCTGGTTATTGAGGATTCACTTAAAAGTGTTGGAAAACCCTGATTCCAAACCAATGGCTACGATGGGACTACATCTCCCAACGTTGCTCCACTGCCTTGTGGATCAGACCTTTAATTTGGAAGTATCCGGGTGTGTGGCCCCCTAAGGGAACCACCTGTTTCGTTCTGGGCACCCGAGTAGTATCACAGCCCACACACAAATCAAGTGACTTGTGTGGTGCATATCTATTCGGTTCCCCTTAGTACCAATATAAATAAATAATACCCTCAAGTATTGGAGTATTTTTAACGTATCCATACGACAATCGTTCTACTCACTACATGTACTTTGTATATCCTATGTTATTGTCTTAAACCAAAGCTAATTAAATAATCATCATTGTTCATCAATCAAATTTTCAAGTTCAAACCTTGAGAAGTGTTCGTTTGAGAACGCTACTTTTATAGATTGATATACCTTGTAGTTGTCATAATGTCTAATCTAATTAATACAATCACTGTACATTGTTTTTATGTACATTTATCCAGTAAATGTTTAAATGAATGTAAAAACTGGAATGCTTGATTTGTAATACAATCATTATGTAATATCCCAGATCAGAAGGGTTTTTGTGGAGATTTTAGTAATTTCAATAATTGGATGCCGGCTCAGTGGTCTAATAGTTAAGCGATCGCACGCGAGACTGATAGGTCTTGAGTTCGAATCTTTCGGGGGGAGGGTTCGTGGATGCGCGCTGCCGAGGACTCTAATATTGGGACAAAACGGCCGTTCAGTGTCTAGAATGGGTTTTGTGGAGAATTGGTAAATTCAATAGTTGAAATCATGAATCAACTTCGTGGATTAGTTGAAGTTAGACATTAACACCGTTGGATGCCGGCTCAGTGGTCTAGTTGGTTAAGCGCCTGGCGCGAGATTGATAGGTCCCGGGTTCGAATCCCGCGGGTGCGGGATCGTAGATGCGCACTGCTGAGGAGTCCCATACTAGGACGAAACGGCCGTCCAGTGCTTCCAGGTTTTCCATGGTGGTCTAGCTTCAATTGATTCATGATTTCAACTATTGAAATTTAATTATGTCACAAACATCAACAACAATAATTTTATCATTGCTGTATTTATTCATTCAAGTTTTTATTTACACATATGTTAAATCTTTCTTTTTTTCTTCATTTCAATACTTTTCTTTCTTCAAGCGTTTAATGCCAGGACCACCATTTGCATTTGGTGCTATCCTAGTTCTGTTAGCAATTCTAGTAGCTATTTTTATACCAGAAAAGTATACATCCCATGAATTGACTCATTCAAAAATGATCACTGATACATATGAATCAACACATGGTACTAATATATATGGTGGTGAAACACGACTAAGGCGTAGTTCACCATCAGGTCAATCTCATAGAACTACAACAGATTTTGATCAATTCACATGTGGTATAAATACACCTAATAATGATGATAGTGACAAATCCAAATTAATAATGAGTACTATTGAAATGTCTAAGTATAATTTAAAAAGTAATATTTCACATCATAATCCAATTGATAATAATGGTATTTGGAATCGTTTAATGACTGGTCTTCAAGATTTTCGTAATCCAATTTATATAAAACAACGACCAAATCGTGTTCATCGTCAATCAAAAAGTCGTTTTAGTACAGCAGCAGGTATTGTAGAACCATTTCGTCGATTATTTATTCGAAAAACTTATGATGGAAATATTGGTAGTTATGGTGTTATGGGTAGTGGTGGTGGTGGTGGTGGTAGTGGTAGTGGTAGTGGTGGATTTCTTGATCATGAAACACGTCTTCATTATTCTAGACTACCATTTACTGTTATCTCATCATCGAATAATAATAATCAGAAATATTTAGATGATATATCAAAGAATGATTTACTATTTTCTAATCCTTTATTATTAAATCCTGGTGAATCTGAAGAAGCAGCTGATCTAAGTAATTATCGTGCACATCATTTCCGACGTATGTTTATTACTCCTAATACAACAACAACTATTACTCCTTTTAATAATAATAATAATAATAATAATAATAATAATAATAGTACTATTACTACTTCTTCATCTGAATTTCATCCATCACAAAACTATCATCCTACTAGTTCATTATTAATTACTTCTAATGAAACTGATCAATTTAATTCATTGGAAGAGAATGAAAAAGATACATTTATTAAACATTGTCATTCTTCCATATCACCTATCATTAGTCCTACAGGTAGAAAAATAACAAAACAAAAATTTTTTACAACAAATTCTTATAAAGAATCAATTCATGATACATGATTGGGGGGGGGCTGATGATGTTGATGATGACAATGTTCTCTTTTCTCTTCTATTTGATCTAGTAAGTTTCATATTGAACTGTGTGTATGTGTGTATGTACGTAAATTGTATTTATTGTATAATGATTCATTAATTTCGTATTCTTAATAGTATTACCGGACATCTTTCTATATGATCTACAATTGAGATAGTTGGAACATGTATTACATATATCCAACACTTGTCCATCTTGATACGTGTTGTTGCTATTTTGACGTGGTGGTCGGGCTCACCTATCGTGATGAAGCAACTGAGCTATGCTGGCTGGAACAAACGTTCCTCAAGGTCGTACCATGCCAGACAGGTCGGTTGAAGAGCGGTAAGACTAAAAGCAACAAATTCAAGGTCCGAAGGCGAAGTCGTACTGCTGACTGTACAGAGGTGTGACAGCAGTAAGGTGTTTCCTTCAGACAACCAGTATGACAGCGATGCTGCCTTTCCACAAGGAGGGTTGGGGTTACAAAAGGTCGACCCCAGAAATGCACACTCCGCTTTATTCTACGGATATCCGTCTCCGGCGGTAATGTCTCAACAAGTACAGAGCTAACACAAAAACTACCCATAAAAAGGTTGTGTGTGACCGACCTGAAGCATTTGTCCGTTGGGCACTGTGGTCACGCTCTCAGGTCACTATGATCACCTCTAATCCAATTTCCTTTTCAGGTACCTCCTCCTCCAGAAGATACGCGTTGTTAGCTAGCTGGTGTTAAGATTAAGCTGAAAGAAAGTTAGAGGCTCAGACTAAAACATGTGATCAATCTCTAAGGTCATTGATTATTGATCAGACCTATGTTTGTAGATATGAACTACTTGGTTAAGGTCGAAAAGATAACCACGCTTACTGGTAACAATTGTGACTAATGGTTAGAGACGGGTGATAATAACTTGAAATCAATCACGACATTGACTTTTTATCTTCATTTGCATCATTCCTTCATATATATACCTTTTCATTTCATTCTCTAAAACTATATTCCCGATTTTTAGTATTTCTCTTTATCACTGCTACGACATTAACTTCACTTCTTCACTATTCATCTTGTTATTTTCTCGTCGTGCTCACATAGGATAAATACTTGAGTTAATGCACATTTGTTTCAGACTTTACGTTTCTTACTCAATGAATTTGATAATTCAGGATCGTATCATCCAGTCATTGTAGGCTAGATTAGCTCGAGTACTGTTACAGTTGTGTGGGTGGCTTTGTTTCGTTGTCGCCCATACCATGGAAACATCATTCTTGCCTAGGTTACCTGTAAAAAAACTGGGTTATGAGTGGTCTTAACAAACCAGGAGTACAATTGCTGAGTCCGCGAGACAACTTCGTGAGACCGATCATATATACGCTTTCGGTGAGTGACTTTTCATACATAGTCGGCGGTACGACATCACCCGCGACCCCTAAGTTCATTGCATGTAACCTTACTGACCTACTCAAGATAGTTGAATTTAAAGTAACAATTTTTCCAGTCATTATAGCTCGACTGTCCAACCTGATCACTGTGTAAAAATAGAGACTATCATTAGTGTTGTATCACTGATTGAATCAGAATTTCCACGTTATTGCTGCATTACACATATTATGTGCACATTGTTGCTACTGTATGCAAACAGTCCTTTTGAGGAGACGATGACCACCCAAAAGAAATTTTAAAACCTGAAGCGAACAGTATAATCAGAGTTGAATCCGAGACTTCATACTGATATTGCGCTCTATACACGAGCTCGGGTACTCGAGGAAAAAGACGAAGATTATTTATCAGCTAATCACATGCAGCTATAACTTAGAGATTTCTGATTAGCTGATTGTATCTCAGAAGAGAAGTGTTTGCACCACATCACTGTATACTTAATTTCCTACTAGCATCGAACACCAACAGCTGAAGAGGAAATTAGGAAAAGACGATGGAAATGGATAGGATATACATTACGCAGATCATCAAACTGCATCACGAGGCAAGCCCTAACTTGGAATCCTGAAGCGAAGCAGAAAAAAGGAAGATCAAAGAACACCTTACGTCGGTTAATAGAAGCAGATATGAAAAGGATGAATAACAACTGGAAAGGATTGCCCAGGACAGCGTTGGATGGAGAATGCTGGTGGGTGGCCTATGCTCCTTCATGAAATGAAATAATTTCACATAATTTCTAACTGTAATCATCTAGCAATATTACAAGAATGATGTCTATGTCAGAACGGAACTACACATTGAACTGTTTCTACAAATCCAATAGTATAATTCATTCTCTTAAATACAAGATGTATTTCTATTTTGATAGAGTTTTGTGCTCTGAACTGGATAGTTTGGTCGTGGAGGTTTCATCGTTCTTCTGAACGACCATCCAGCTCAGAGAAAATAACTCCATCAAAATCATCCACCTGAGCTACAAATCTTCTCCAACATCATAAGATGTATTCATTTAACTTTAAGTCATAGTTTAGAAATAGTAATATTCTAATCTATAATACACCAATTTAAGCCCCCAAATGCCCTGGTATGGCCGAGAGTGGGGAAAGTCCGCTCTCCCTCTCGAAATGCTCTGACACGGCCACGCGCATACAGCCTCTGCCAGAGAAGTCCTACTCACTGCCTTCTCGCACCACGGGTGTTGTTTACGAAAATGAGAGGACGAAAAGCGAATGTCCGGCACCGGCTGTAACTGGATCCCAATCTAATGGTGCACATGGACTCCAGTATCCTGAAGGAACAAATGGTGTATAAAACAATCGTTGGTTACCAGCTACCATGGGACTGCAACTCCGTACGATGCTCCACTGCCTTGTAGGTCAGATCTTCAGGTCGAAGGCTCCGGGTGTGGCCCACTAAGAGAACCACCTGTTTCTGTTTGGGCACCCGGGGAGTATCACAGCCCTCACACATATCAAATGAGATTTGTGTGGCACATATATATTTGTTGCCTCCTTGTACTAATATCTATGTGTAAAAATAAATAAATAACACTAATATAAGATTGTATGAACTGTATTCAAACTATATACCTTACATAGTTTGTAAATTATTTATACTTGTAATAATTATTTCTATACGTCCACTATAAGTAGGATAGATAAATTAACTTTAACAGTACGTAATTATGCCCCACCACCGACTGCCTCGAAGTGCTATGTTTTATGTTGTAGGAAAAGGTTGGAAGAAAGCTAGGAGCGGCCAGACCAAAACATGGCAAAAATCCATGAAGTTCCTGACAAGTGGACTAAGCGATGTTGGTAGGTGTAGACTACCTGGTTGTGGACCGCGAGACGATAGCAACCGATGGTTAGAGACCTTGAATGATATGGCTCAAATCGTTTGTAATGGCGCAGGTGCATCCACACTTTTGTGTTCTCCCAAATTTCAATCTTCTGAATTTTTCATGTCCCTTTTTTTCTTTTTGCAAATTTATTTCACTCGATTATACTCCTTAAATAACATCATCAAACCCTAATGTTCCCTATTACTACTTATACTTTCACTACCTCTACCACTATGGGATTTGAATCGATAACTGAATTTCTGTGCTAATGTGGTATGGCAACTCGAACTGATATACGTATGTACGAAGTTCCACGTTGTTACTGAATAACTGACTGGTAAAATAGAAGACATACTTTTCATTTTATTTTGAAATTCTTCAGTTACAATCTACGTGGAACTCTGTATAAATATTCACATTAGAACTCGAGCCCAGTGCTTATCGTTCTCAATCGTGACATATTATTAATAGTATTTAGTTATATAAATACTCAGTTTATTTTCATCATTGTGTTTATCATTTTCTATCTTCCTTTTGTTTTGTTTTTTTTTCTTTTTTGCTTTTGTCAATCTAGAGAATGATCTGACTAGTTACAGTATTCATTTTCATTAAAATTAATGTAAAATTACCAATTGAGTGCCTACCGTTCATCAGTGTTTTTTTTATTAAAAAAATTGAAAAAAAGAAATACACTTCGTATCTATGAGCGTCTCTATTTTTTTTTTGTTTCATGGCTGTCTCTGTCACACACACACACATAGATACATATATTCACTATGTGCCAATATATCAATGTATATATATATATATATATATATGTGTGTGTATGAACACTGTGATTAGAATATGAATGCCAATACAAACATACATACATATACATACACATACATTTATATACACAACAGACAAACAACCAATTCAGTTCTAATTTTTAGTTACATGTATTTGTGTACTAATTTTTTTTTCATTTTATTTTATATAATTTAATACATTTGTACAGTGTAGTATTCAAATTTATACTCATTGTGTATATGTCGAGGTGTGTGTGTGTGTGTATGTGTATGTTCTGTATATGTGCACATTACTCTCAATACATATATATATATATATATATATATATATATATATATATACATATTTCGATGAGAATACTTGTTTTCAATAGTTTTATAAGTAGTATGTATTCATGTATGGATGGATGGATGTATGCATGTATATTTGCTTACATAATACTTATCCAAATGTAATTCTCTTATAATGATTCAGTTGTATGATTGAATGTTTGCCTTCAATTTGTTCAATGTACAATGTTTCACTTGTTTTTGGATAATAATAAAACAAAAGAAAAAAAACAAACAGAGAAAATCATTTACAAATTTTAATAAATTGTCATTTTTTGATTGGTTGTTTTCTCTTTTTCTTTTCGTTTTTTTTCTCTCTGTTTATTTATTTGTTTGTTTGTTAATATATATTTTTTTTGTATGGTTGTGTGATTGTGTATTTGTTTTGTTTTCTCGTATTTATTTCTTCAATGAAACTTTTATCATATTTTAAACAGGATTTCTTTACTTCTCCATCTTCTTCTTCTTCCCCATCATCTTCTTATTGTTTAGTTCTTTTTCACAAGGATTTATCATGTCAGCAAATAAAATGTTCACCTATAAAATGTATAACAATATGACATAAACCCCTTTCTGATAATAATCAACATATGCTAACTAGTGATTGACTTCAAGAGGTATATCCTGGAGTTCTAGTGAGAAGTAGTGACCAGTGGAGTTCAACCAGGTCTGTTGTGAGATAGTAACTCACTGAAGACAATGGTGAATGTGTCGCTGAATTTCGTGGATTAGTTGAATTTAGACATTAATACCAATGGATGCCGGCCAGCTCAGTGGTTTAGTGGTTAAGTGCTCGCGCACGAAACCAGTAGGTCCTGCGTTGGAATCTCTCAGGGGGCGAGGTTGTGGATGCGCACTGCCACTGAAGAGTCCCATAATAGGACGAAACGGCCATCCAGTGCTTCCAGGTCTTCTATGGTGGTCTAGCTTCAACTGACTCATGATCTTAACTATTGAAATCTCGACAAAACCCCTTCTGATGACAAAATTTTGTTTTGTTTTTTTCTTTTTTCAACGATGATCTGTATTCGTGTCACCAGAATCTACATGCTAGATTTGAAGCTATCACGAGTTCACTTCATCTGTAAACATGAGAACAAATACTCGGTGACCAAAACACCAGTAAGCTAGATATTCTAATGCATCCCAACCTCTTTAACTAGAGGAAGAAGTCCAAACTTGAAATAAGAAAGTATATTCTACAAAAAACTAGAAGCGCGAGCGATAAAAACAAACACAAAACAGTTTTTGGAGATATTTACTAATTAACATACTAAAAGACTCAACGGACCAATCGCATTTAAGATATTTCTGATGTAGGAAATATGACAAAGGTGAAAAGAGGGCTTTTGGCGCAAAAACAAAGAAATTCAAATTTTCCAAATAAAATTACAAACTTAGATCCTTTCTCAAGTGAGTTTAGAAGATCTAACGTCCCCAATACTACATGCAATATTTACGTATACATTGATGACGTAATAACACAACATTGACGAGTAATATATATATGAATCCGGTGTTCATCTTATTGTGCTAATAAGGTATGACGACTTGAACCGATGCATATATGTATCTAGTTCTATGTTGTAGCTGACTAGAATACGTTTATTTGTTTCTGTTATAACACTCGGTTTTATTTCGTCCGATGTGATAATGGTTGGGTATCCACATTTAAACGATTATCTACACTAGATTCCCCTCCCAATGTCTATTATTCTACAAGATGTCAACACAACTCAGATGATCAAGAACACGTAAATAGCCTGATCACAACGTAAATATATTTCCACACCAAAAAAACCCGACACAATCCAACAACAATGAACAATCACAATAATAAATGAGTAATAATAATAAGGATAAGGGAATATATAACTCATCTGACACACCTGTCAGGCAATCTACATGTCTGACTAACCAGACAGACAATCAATCATGATCATTCTAGACGACATCAGTTTGTATGTTATGTTCTTTCAAAACCTTTGATGATAGCTAACTCTTTTTTAAGAGTACAAAATATTCATAAGTTGCTAGTATTTGATCACAGACGCTTTAGAAATATTGCTCTCGTCTGCTGAGATCACTGGGTAAAATAATAGTGAGGTTAGACGTAGGGTATTAGGGAATGATGGTACATCAGTTGATGAGGTTATGAATCTTCATCGACTGAGATGGTTGGGCCACGTGATACGTATGCCTGAATACGGATTACCACGACGCTCAAAGCTGACTAGTGTACAGGATGGTTGGAAGAAAGTTAGAAGCGGCCACACCAAAACGTGGCATCAGTCATTGAAGTCAGACTTCTAGTCTGAGGCATTTCGGTAGATGGAGACTACCTGGTTGGGGTCCGCGTGACTATGGTAATCAATGGTTGGAGACGCGAACTTATTAAATAAATCACATTTTAAAAATAATTCACTAGAAAGAAGTTGATATAATTCCACCAATTGAATTTTCATTGTAACATTATCATTTAATATTAAAATTATACAATGATAATGAGAAATAATCAAGTGTAAATAGATTATAGATGAGGGGTATAATAAAAGAAATAAAAAACTATAATTGTTCAATTGATAAATACTGAAAAAAGACGAAACAAACGGTGAAGAAGAAAAGAGTAAGCGATTTTAAAATCATCGTAGAATAAAAAGGATTCACTTAATCATGTCATTTTTTGAACATTCACACCCAAATGCCCAGGTACGGCTGAGAATGGGGAAAGTCCGCTCTCCCTGCTGAAATGCTCTCACATGGCTACGCGTATATAGCCTCTGCCAGGGAAGTCTTATTCACTGCCTTCTCGTGATGGGGGGTTGTTTACGAATTTTGAGAGGACGAAAAGCGAATATCCAACGCTTTAACTGGGTTGGTGAACAGGAACAGTTGGAAAACCCTGATTTCAAACATATGATGCACATGGGCTCCAGTACTCTGAGGGAACAGATGGTGTATGAACCAATCCTTGGTCACCGGCTACCATGGGATTGCTTCTGCTTACGATGCTCCACTGTTTTTTTGGGTCAGACGTTCAGGTGGAAGGCTCCTGTTGTGGTCCCTTAAGAAAACCACCTGTTTCGGTTTGGGCAACCGGGCAGTATCACAGCCTTCACACAAAGTCAATTAAGATTTGTGTGGCGCATATGTATTTGGTGCCCCTTTGTACCAATACTCATGTGTTAAAATATATACATAAGGTGTTCAGTCGAATGTTTTTGCTATTACATAAACGGATGAGATGAAATTATGCTTTATACTATAGCGTCTACATATACTTTTATTGATTATAATTTCTATGAAAGTAATGGATCAAATCTACCGAAAATATTCAAACCTCAAATTATTTCAATAGTTGAGATCATGAGACAGTTGAAGCTAGATCCTCAGATACATGTATGCAACATTTCAAAGTTCCACAATCTTAGTGGCTGTGGAAGTTATAATTCACGTAAACCTTGACCATGTATTTTACATCTAGTAACACGCATTAGTCCTATAGTCAATAACTTTATTAGCTGACGTCAAGTTTTTTCTTTCTACTGTCTTTCTTCTCTCATAATCCGTATTGGTTCGTTGCATATAAGTAAAACTTGTCATTCGACGAAAATTTACAACATAAATGTATATGGCACTTTCGCCTCAATATTTCTCACTTAATCATTGAAACAAACAAGAGCAAGGCTCCAAAGACAACTATCATCGAAACCTGTAGTTTAAAAATATTTTCTACAAACCGAAATAATGTTGTTTTGTTAAGAAGCAAACGACACAAGCTGATAAAACTCAATAAACCTTTCTGAATGCGTGCCAATACTTCACTAGACACCAAAATGATAGGACTGATCAGACTTTCAAGATAAGCGAAGTGATCGGCTACTTCGCTTACTACAATTAGTCCAAACGTTGACAAAGACCAGTTGTGAAGAAGCATTTAGCATTTGGAGGGATGGAAATCCATCTCAATGCGCTTGCATCGTTGCTCAACGAGATATGAACGCCGTATTTATTAGCGTCCTCATTAAACAGCATTCTATTATTTGCTCGTCAACAAGTGAGTCATCTGGTAAGAGGTCGATTCCTGAAAAGTTGGACGATGAGAGAGCTGCTGCTAGAATAATGTCTATGACAAGATTAAGTAAAGAGTGAGACAGTAAGCAATTTTGACGAACACGCTTGAGATTGCAAATTTTGATGAAATTCTCAATAAGCTCTAACTCGAGCAGTAGCCTGTACAAGGCGAGTACAATTCTTCAATGTTCATTTCCGTTAAACCCGTTGATCTACAGAATTAGATCTCACTTGAATGTCAAAGCATATAACAATGCGCGGGAGTTGATATACGCGTTTGTGTTAAAGGACAGAGAGATGGGAGAATATTCGATCTACATACCCATGTTCGAAATATGTTTGATCTTCCCAATTTTACTCTTCGTGAGCCCTGTTTAAACGTTGGGAGATTACTGAGGGAAATATTTTAGGCACTATGTTAGTCGAATTGATTACTCCATGTTTATCATAGGCGCAATTGCATCCCTAATTATAGTCTGGAACAATCTGAGATCGAGGCTAGTCAGATGTAACCAGATTCTACCCACGATCCCAGTTAATTTAACTTCTGAAACTGTTGCTTTCCTTCACTTTAATTGCTGAATGACCGAAATCCTAACCTCTTTCCCTTCATTCTTATTGAACCATACCGAGATATGTTCTCGTATACATGCTGAAAGCGAGCGTAGGCTTCGACAGCTTTACTTTACTTCACATGAGGTGATCGAGCCCATGAGTTTCTGATCTTGACCTGAGATTAACGTTAACGGCATCTTTGAGCTTACAGTCAACAATTCAGGGAACGCGCTTTCATGTTATAATTCGTTATCTTAATGTATCTGCACCCAAGTATGCATGTTTACAATAAGACTCAAAATCAGTAACCATCATTTCAAAACCATAACTCGTTATCGACTGGTTTCAAAAAACCATCAACTGATTGAGCCGGTATCCTACTGAATGTTTCGTAAATCTATGACTTTAACATTTAGTCTATTGTGTACACAACACTGTTGGATATCGGCTCAGTGGTCCAGTACGTTAAGTGTTCGTATACGAGATTGAAAGCACTGGGTTCGAATCGCGCGGGCGGGATCGTGGATGCGCACTACTGAGAACAGCTGTTCAATACTTTCAGGTTTGTAACAGTAATCTAACATGATCTCAATCAAAACCTTAATAATCTTCACAACCCCTATACTGGTAAATCTAAAATTTTGATTAACTCTTCTATTTAAAAAGATTACTAATGTTTAACTTATTTTCTCAGTTAGTTTGGTTAATATAATACCCTTTCAATTTAATAATAAAACACAAACCATCATTAATAATAAACAATGAATTAATTAACCATAAGGAAGAAGAAAAAAAAGAAAGAGAAAAATGCTTTTTACAGAAGAATAAAAAGATAGAGAAGTGAGAGAGAGAAAAAGAAAAAAAAAGAAAAATTACGATTAAAAGTTGTTTTACACATTAAACATACCACAGAATTTGATTTTACTATCCTGTGTTATAGTAGTTATATATATAAACCCATTTTGGTTAAATGTAATAACAATGAACATTTCATCATTGTATATATATATATATATATATATGTATATATAGTAATAAAAACAAACAAACAAAAATAAAAAGAGGATGAGGAGTCAGCGAAGATAAACTGGTTGTTTTCGCTTTTGGTTGGTTGGTTTGTTTGTTTTTTGTTTTCTCTTCTTTCATTCCCTCTTCCTTTAAATCTTTCCATTTTTAAAGGAAGACATAAAAAAATTGATTTCATCATTGTAACAATGCGATTAAGTAGCTGTACTCATAGTCGTAATTGTAGTACTCGTAGTAGTAGTAGTAGTAGTAGTAGTAGTAGTAGTAGTAGTGGCAATAGTGCAAATAAAAAAATTTTTTGAAAGTCGTATACATATATATTTTTCTACGAGTAAGATGTACCGGGTGAAAATAACAAACAACGTAAATGAAATAAATAAATAAATAAATACATAAACACAATTGTCTACCCCCCTCTCTTTGATCTCTCTCTAATTATTATTATTATTATTTATTACTTTTCTATATGGAAATGATTATTAGTAATTAGTGAACTGTGATATTGGGAAATGAAAAATACAAACAAACATAGAAGTTGATCAAACAACAACAACAACAACAAAACTTTTTTTTGCTTTTTCAAATACACCCATTAGTAACAATAAAAGAAAAGTACATTCGGTTATTTTCTATTGTTTTATTTTTGTCATCTATCAATATGTTGCTATGTAAACTCACGCAAATAAATGATTATTGGAATTATATCATTTATATATATATATAAACAATTGTCAAGTTGAATTTATGTCCCTTAGCAACTAACCAACCAACCACTTACCCGCCCAAACACACACACACATACATACATACATATAATCACATATCAGTTTACAATGGATGATCCGATTTAAATATAAAACGCAAAAAAAAAAATAAAGAAATTCACATTATTAATATTTTTTTAAAAATTTATTTGAAGAAAAAAAACAAAAAAACGTTTTTTTTTCTTACAAAAAAAAATAATGAACAATAAGAAGAAGGAAACAATCAAATTCATTGTTGATGATCATGGATTGGTTTTCTTTTCAGATGACCACTAGTACTACTAGTAGTAGTAGTAGTAGTAGTTCTTCATGAATGAATATAAAATAATTAACAATCCCAATTAATATTCATGTTATTTAGATGATAATCATTTAAAAGCCACCAATTAATTATATATCGATATGAATTATACTACACAACGGAATAGAATTAGGCTAACTAAGTCAACTCTATCTAATATATAGATTCTTAGATATATTATTACTATTATTATCAAGATGATCATCATGATGATAAAAACAGTAGTAGTAGTAGTACTACTACTACTACTACTACTAATAATAATAATAATAATAATAATAATCGTAATATCAATCAGTATTATAATACACAATAGTAATAATATTTACTGTTATTTATAATGTCAATATGAATAAGAATATTTTTATAATAAACAAAGATGATAAAAAACTTTACTAATAGTAGTGGTAGTAGCGGTAGTAGTAGTAGTAGTAGTAGTAATACTAATATGTATATATGAATGATAGTAAGACTCATGAATTCATTTATTCACTCACAAGTAAACACATACACATAGAGGCAGACAGGCAGGTAGGTAAGCAGTCAGAAAGTGAGTGTGTGAATGAATGAATGAATAAAGAGGAGAAACCAATAGATTATATATATATATATATATATATATATATATATATATATATATATATATATATATATATAAACAAATAAATATAAACAGATACATACAAATACATTAATGCATTTAGATAGATGGATATATTTTAATAGATTAAAGGTACATATATATATATAAGCATAGATGACATATTTATCATTTATAAGAAACAAGAAAAAAAATCCAAGCAATACAAAGGCAAAGAACAGAATGTTTCTTTTTTCGATTGGAAATATGCACACGTAATATGAATGAAGAGACAGAGACAGAGAGAGAATGTATGTGTGTGTGTATATATATATAAATATATATATATAACGTACATATACATATTCACACTCACTCACTCACTCTCACACACATACATTGGTATATTTACACATACTATTTGTAATGTGTGTAATAAATAAAACGAATATTAAAATGAACTCTGTCTATTACTTTTATTATTATTATTATTATTATTATTATTATTATTATTATTATTATTATTATTATTATTATGGTAATTAGATTGAAGTACAATAGTAATAATACACAATACCTAATCAACACACATGAATGAGAGAAATTTTCATTTGCACATAATAATACAACTAATTATTTCAATATTAATAATAACCATAAATGAAAAACAATAAATATGATGACATAATCTTTGTCTGTGTCTATATGTACGTGTGTATGTATGTGTGTGCATGTATTATGTATGTATGTATGTATGTGTATTGGTGTTATGTATAGGGGTTAAGGTTATATTTTAGTAATTAAAAGGAGAAAATAAACAATTTCATTAATAAAATAATCAATTATTCAACAATAAATTAAATGGAAGAGAAAAACAAACAAACAAACACAATCCTCCCCCACCTGAATTAGATGAGGATCATCTCATTATTTCATTTTATAGGAATAACCATTTTTTTTAAAAAATAAAAAAAAGAAAAAAAAGAAAGAAAATGTAACAGAATACACATTCACATAGACATACAAAGAAACAATAATAATACAATAGACCAATAAGTGATTTATTATTTAAAAAAAAATAGAGAAATACAATGCAATACAATACAATAGAACAGCAGTATAATAATAGGATCCAAATCCAGTAAATGAGTGAGTGAGTGAGTGAGTGAGAGAAAGCAAAAAAGAAGAAGCAGGAGAAAAAACCATGAGATGAATATAAACAATTAAGCATTCATGTCATTCATACACACATACATATAACATATTTTGAAAAATATACAACAGATATAGATAGATAGATATATCAATGTGGCTTTATTATTGTCAATCAATCAAATCAAATCAGTCAATCAGTCATTCAGAAATACAAACAAGAAAGGAAATAAAAAGTATGAGAATAATGAACAAGACAACGAATGAAAAGAAATGCAATGAATGTATAATTTTAAAATAAACAGAACAAAACAATAGAAAAACACAACATAACTGGAATCCTTTAAATGATGATCTTTCTATGCCTAATCATAATCATAATAATCATGTATGTGTATGTATGTGACAAAGAGAGAGTGAGCGAAAGAAAGAGACAGGGAAAGGAAAGTAGGTGTAAAACAAACATACAAACGACAAAAAAAAGAAAATACGTAGACAACAACATAGAGATCACATATGAATGGATAATAATCATAATTATACTGAATACCGACAATAATAATAATAATAATCATAATAATAATAATAATGATAATGAGATAATAATAGTAGTCTTAATGATGAGAATCGAATCGATCATTATGAAGTAAGACAATTGTAGCAGTATTATTATTATTAAAGAATGAATAAACAATAATTATAATATAAGCAGATAAATTAATATACGCCTGTAATTGTTGTACACGTGTGTATGGCACAAATTTACACCCATACATACATACATACACACACACACGTAAACAAGGGATAAAATGGGAAGAAAATAGAGGATAAAAGAGAGAATATGATCCTAATCATCAGTATAAATTACAATTGGAACGTCTTTTTCATACATAAAAAGGAAAAAAAAGAAGTTAGTAGTACCCCATTGTGTTGCATCACTATTTGAGCTATATATATATAAATATAGTCATGCATATAAATACATTTATATAAGTCGATAGATAGATGTTGTGTATTAGCAAGAATATATTCTATTCAAGTTCAACTGTTTCTTTCATGTATGTATGCAAATGTGTGTATACGTGTCTACATTTGAGATGCTGCCGAATGTGGTAGATAGTACGGTGAAAAGAAAATGCTCGGTGATGGTTGTAGTACATGCAGTACTGGAGCTGCATTATTATTATTATTTGAATCGACACCGCTTACTCGTGTAGTTGAATTGTTTGCTTGAATGTGTTGTTGTTGTTGTAATGTTGCCGTGGTTTGTGCAATTTGAAGATGATGTTGTTGTTGTTGTTGTTGTGATGAATCGGACAATGTACTTGTTGGACAATGAAATTGGTGATGTGAATGAGGAGTCAACTGACCATTAATAATAGATCTATCAGATTCTGTTAAATTATTTTGTATTGAACCATTAAATAAAGGAAGAGTTACAAATGTAGGAGCAGATGTACCACCATTACCAGCTATTACACTAGCAGTTGATAACATAGTTGTACTAGTTGGTTGACTTAAATGAGGTGGTCGTGGGGCAGTTACAAGTGGTAGTTGTTGTTGTTGAGAGGATGATGAAGACGGTTGATTAGATTGAGCTAATTGTGTAGGTGAGATCGTTATAGTAGAGAAATGTGAACCAGAAACCATAGCTTGCCTTGATTGTTGCTGTACAATAGAGGAAGGAATTAATTGAGCTTGTGAAACATGATTAATACCAACACTACCACCGCCACCACCTGTGGCTAAAATTGGCCATACTGCAGTGGCAGTAAGTTGATGAGATGTTACTTGTTCTGAATTATGTTGTTGTTGTTGTTCTTGACCTTCAGAAACAGTTAATATATTACTGCCTGATGATAAGCATACTTGTTGAATAGAACTATTAAGATCACCGGGTAAAATTTCTTCAACTTTACTAACTGGTAATAATGTAATGGTTGTAGTTGATTGATTATTCATTGTATCTGATGTTGAATCAGTTTTATGTGATTGACCTAATGCACCACTGACCACTTCTTCTAAACTAGATAATGTTCCAATATTAGTTGATGTAATTGTACCTAAATTTGATAAAAGATTTAAATTACCAAGATTTGTTGCATTACCACTACTTTTACTATGAGTTCGTCGATGATTTACTAATGAACCATAATGTTTATAGGATCGATCACATAATCCACATGAAAATGGTCTATCTAATTTATGAACAGCTGCATGACGAACTAAATAACCTCTTTGTGTGAATGCACGACCACAATCAATACAAATAAATGGACGAATATTAGTATGACATCGAAGATGTGCAGCAAGACGACATTGGAAAGCAAAACGACGTGGACAAGCAGGACAAGGATAATTACATGGACGACCTTTACGATCTAATGGAACTGGACCACCGATAGCAGCAGCCGCTGCTCCAGCAGCAGCTGCAGCAGCATTAACATCAATGCCTTCACTTAAATTAATTCCAGCTAATAAATTCAATCCATCACCGGTCTACAATAATAATAAGTAAAGAAAACTATGTTATGAATAATTGTATAAATTATTTGCAAATCAAACAATTTGCCAAACTCGTTACAACGTTATCAATTGGAAATATTTTATAGCATTCAAAGGTTTAACAGATAGAGATAATCTTTCCTTGCTTGAATGCCCCCAAATGCCCTGGTACGGCCAAGAGTGGGGAGAGTCCGCTCTCCCTCTCGAAATCCTCTCACATGGCCACGCGTATATAGCCTCTGCCAGAGAAGTCCTACTCACTGCCTTCTCGCACCACGGGTGTTGTTTACGAAAATGTGAGGACGAAAAGCGAATGTCCGGCACCGGCTGTAAGCGGATCCCAACCTAATGGTGCACATGGGCTGCAGTATCCTGAGGGAACAAACGGTGTATGAACCAATCGTTGGTTACCAGCTACCATGGGATTGCATCTCCTTACGATGCTCCACTGCCTTGTGGATCAGACCTTTAGTTCGAAGGCTCGGGGTGTGGCCCCCTAAGAAAACCACCTGTTTCGGTTTGGGCAGCCGAGCAGTATCACAGCCCTCACACAAATCAATTGAGATTTGTGTGGCGCATATGTATTTGGGGCCTCCTTGTACCAATATCTATGTGTTAAAATAAATAAATAAATTCCTTGCTTAAATGCATATGTATATAATTATAATTTATCATAGAAATATAAATGGGATAAATCACTTTCTCTCTAGATATACATATATATGTATAAAGGTAGCTAGAGAGGGATTCGAACCCCCAAGCTATTATTTGAAACTTTAGTGCTTTGACTAATATAAGCCACTACACAGCTAATAGTAGTACCATGAAGAAGTTTTTAAAAGATTTTTATAATTTAATTGATCATCATGTTAGTAAAAGACGAAATACGAACTCATTGTGTAATTCCGTCGCAGTTAGTAATTCTTATTAACGAATGCAGAGAGTGTAATCACATGACATATGAAGTGATAAACAATTATATCACACTATATAATTTTATGACCTATCACTCCCTCCCTCTCTCTCCAACCCGGAAACACGCACTCAAGAAAGTTAATAAATAGTTTGTAATAACTATAGTCAACTTTAATTCACAACCGTAAATATCAAACATAATTTGTGTGGTTTTCTATCTCCTAAAACTGAAAAATTCCAACTAGTGACTGATTTTATGAAACCAAAAGTAATAGATGATATTAAAAAAACATATAAGAATTCATCTAAAAGGCAATAGAAGTTAACCCAAATACGATCATTGTCATTTCTATCATAAAATAATGAACGTACAGACACTAAACTATACCGAGTTATGACTATCAGTGTAAGGAAGGTCAGTAAATTGAATGATCCTTAGTCTCATTCACAATGAGGAAGATGAAGAAATCGAAGCTGTGAGTAAACAGAATAATTAGTGTCACATTGGACTATATAATCTTTAATTTCTAATAATAGATTAATTGAGAAATGACCGGAAAAAAACTACTGCTTACCAATTTTCCAAACGCGTTTTGAGCTTGTTTCGGTTTAGATTTTCGACGCCATTTCCTTTTATTGGGTGATCCAATATTAGTTGTCGTTGTTGTTGTACCTAAAATAGAATCCATTCTTCCACCATTATTACTAGTGATAGGAGCCATAAGACTGGAAACATTACTACTATTCACATTTGAAGAAGCATGAGATGTGGAAGACATGAGGGTTTCATTTTGAAGATCACCTGTGAAAACGGGATTATGTATGAATTACATGCTAAGTTACCAATCCTAAACCGGGAGGGGGAGAAAACAACTATTTAATTTATGATCCAAAGATTATGGAATGATCACTATGTTGAAGTAACTAATGTAGTGTGTTAAAGGTGCCGATTTTGGTTGGGTAATCACGCTTGTCTATTGAAACTACAACAGAACCATTCATACTGACTAAGAAACAACATTCGAAATTTGAATACTGGAATAAAGGTGATAAACTCGAGGTCAGATGAAATCATAATATTGAATGCGCCGGAGTGTAGTAAAAGTAGGTTTTCTCAAACAGAATATCAACTATCTTCTCACAGTTAAAAAAATAAAATTAGAATAGATCAGTTTTGAATATAAACACTTATTTTCTATTATACAATGGGGTTACTGTATGTCGTGATTGGAAACACATGTTGTCACAAACAGATCAAGTGTATAGTTGAGAACAATCAACTCCTGAGTGATTATCGTCACATTAAATTAATGCTAATTCAAGTTTCTTAGAGAAGAAATATTTTTTAGTAGTGTGAGGTATCCGGAAAGTATTTACCTACGAACACAACTATTATCACTAAAGTCTATCTAGTTCATCACTAACTAACTTCCCTCTTCGTATCATAAATCTTTTTAGCTTACTCATATATATAATCATTCCTTTATCACTGATTGTATTCTTTTCAGTATGGGTAACTAATGCTAAAGATTAAATTTCACTAAGCCTTATACTTAATCTCCTCAAAACTATACTTTAAACTGTGTTAGAGTGTTCAAATCTCACTAACTGAATTTTAAGAACACTTAACCACAGTGGTATGTTGTTTATGCTGATGAAATCAGTTACAATATTCTACTGTGATTATTCTATACATGGTAAATCAAGACTACATTCTTTTCTGGCTTATAGACACCAATATTTTGAAACTTCGTAAGTATACATATAGTAACAAATTCAAAAGTGAAAAATCCATTTTTCCAGTAGATTTCAGTCGTACATATGTAACCTGTTTAAATAAAAAAGGGAAAACTGACTGGACTGACAGTATCTAATGAACACTTTTGGTTTCATTTGAAACTAGATAGATTTTTTAATCTTTGAGTTATACTACAACACAAAAACAGAGAAAAAATAAACTTGAACAGAGGATGTTACCGACCTACACCAAGTTAGCAAAAAAGCCTGAGAAATTGAACTAGGTCGTGAGTAAAACATTTAATCAACCCACGCTATAGAAGATAATCACACAATACGGCGAATGGGTCTGTGTTAGATACTAAAACCACTGGATACCGACTCGTTTGTTTAAAGGTTAAATATTTACGCACGATACCGAAGTTACTGGGTTCGATTCTTAGGTACAAGGTCGTCGATACCCACTCTTGAGGATTCCCATGCTAGGAAGAAATGATTGTTCAGTCCTTACAGATTTTCAATGATGATGGTCAGATCATGATTTAAAACCGATAGAAAAACAACAAAATTACAAGTGATACAAAGAGTTTTCCTGTTTAAAAAATATTAAAAGGCTTTATCGTTAGTGGATCCTAGTGGTATAATCTGAGCTAACATTGAATGACTGCTACTTCTGTTAAGAAAACAGTTCACTTACTTCCATTTAGAGACATTGTTGGAATTCCGTTAACTGTTGCAGTTGTAACATATGATGTTAATCCTGGTAAATGTGTGAATGCTTCAGAAAGTGAAGATGAACCGTTAGCTGCAGCGGCGGCCGCAGCTGCTGCTACAGCTGCAGCAGCATCAGCACGATGTTTCCACCGAATATGCATCTGAAGACTGGATGAAGAACGGAAAGAACGTTGACAGAAAGGACAGGGACGACCTGTAGCTCCAGCACAATGAAAACGTCGATGATTTGATAAACATGAAGCCTAATGAAAAATGAACATAGAATATAGGATAATAACACAATAGTGAAAAGTATAAACGCACATTAGTGAACAAATGTTTTTCTAAAATAGGAAACTAAGAACCAAAAAAAGATGTTAATTTCACTTCTTTCATATCATTCAATGTGATATTAAAATTACTGTATATACCAGGTATTAGTTTTGAGCCACAATTTTGATGGGATGAATGGTGATCCTTTATTTGAATACCCAGACTGGAACAGTACCAATAATTAACTTAGTAATTAGGAACTGAGTGTTTTAACAACTAAGCCATCGTTATTACAATGTCTCTGATGTTATCTATGTATTCTCAAAATAATCTTCATATATAGTTTTCATCCCACCATACAAGGTCACTGGTATCTAAAAGTGAACGGAAACAACGTAGTTAGTCATATGCAACGTAGAACCTGGCAGATGTATGCATCGGTCCAAGCTGTCACAAAGTAGAACAACCAGATGAAATGGTCAACATACATCCCATAATAGTAAATGTATGTATAAACAGTAATGGTGGTATGATACGAGATAAAAAAACAAGATAGTAGAGGTAATGTTTCACAATTCACTACTGTCGAAGTATTAAGAAGATTCACTGATTACACTGTTATTAGTATGCAGGATTTTTGGAGATCGTAGAATTTTCCGTTTCAAATCACGAATTGATTTTAGTTAGACCATCATTAAAAATCGGTAAGGACTGGACGGTCATTTCTTCCTAGCATGAGATTCCTCAAAAAGAGTGGCCATCGATGACCTTGCATCTGAAAATCAAGATACTAAAATCAATTAACTTTGTCAAATGCAAATATTAATTAACTAATTGATTACTTGACGAAAAGATTTTCCACAAACTGTACAATGAAATCTTGGTTGACTTGAATGCGTATAACGATGACGTTGTAAATTTCCTCTATCTGAAAAAGCTCGTCCACAATCAGCACAAGGAAAAGGACGTTCACCAGTATGACGTCGAGTATGAGCGATAAGACGACATCGCATACCAAATTCTCGACCGCATACACCGCATCTAAAATTAAATCAACAAAATAAATTGGATTATTTTATTTATATCAAGTTAAAAGTAGTAAACGGTAACAATATAACAATATTACATTGTACATTGGATCAAAGTTCATAACGCATCTAAAGTTCACTAAAAATTCCAAAGGTATTTTTGCACTCTGGTGATAAATTCTGATATCACTTATCTTAGAAGAACAAATACTCGAGAAAATAAAAAAAGAGTAAATGAATCTTATCACAATATGTATAAACAAACACCGTTAGATTCACTTTCCCCCCAAATGCCCTGATACGGCCGAGAGTGGGGAGAGTCCGCTCTCCCTCTCGAAATCCTCTCACATGGCCACGTGTATATAGCCTCTGCCAGAGAAGTCCTACTCACTGCCTTCTCGCACCACGGGTGTTGTTTACGAAAATGAGAGGACGAAAAGCGAATGTCTGGCGCTTTAACCGGACCCCAAACCAATGGTGCACATGTGCTGCAGTATCCTGAGTGAACAAATGGCGTATGAACCAATCCTTGGTCACCTGCTACCATGGGACTGCATCTCCTTACGATGCTCCACTGCCTTGTGGATCAGACGTTCAGGTCGATGGCTCGGGGTGTGGCCCCCTAAGAAAACCACTTGTTTCGGTTTGGGCACCCGGGCAGTATAACAGCCCTCACACATATCAAATGAGATTTGTGTGGCGCATATATATTTGGTGCCTCCTTGTAGCAATATCTATGCGTTAAAATAAATAAAGATTTCCCCGAACGAGTGTGAACATGAAATTATTCAACGTAGAATGATCCACATTTGTGAATATTAAATTATAGATATGTGAACAGTTGAATCAACATTTAATGACTAATTGATGTAGGTAGAAAGTCATGACATATTACACTTAATAATAAACAGACAATGATGTTTATTAATAATGAGAAATATAACTAAGTCAGTCAGTTAGTAGGGATCATCAACGTAGAGCATGATCCAACTTGAAGTACTAACAAGATGAATAGGAAAAGAGATCGAAATAATGTGATAGTAATTACAATAAGAACGACTGAACATTGGGATTACAGTTTTAAAACACAAAGTGGAAAAGTATACACGAAGGAATTTTATTTTAACACATAGGTATTGGTACAAGGAGGCACCAAATACATATGCGCCACACAAATCTCAATTGATTTGTGTGAGGGCTGTGATACTGCCCGGGTGCCCAAACCGAAACAAGTGGTTTTCTTAGGGGGCCACACCCCGAGCCATCGACCTGAACGTCTGACCCACAAGGCAGTGGAACATCGTGAGGAGATGCAGTCCCATGGTAGCCGGTGACCAACGATTGGTTCATACGCCATTTGTTCCTTCAGGATACTGGAGCCAGCCCATGTGCACCATTGGTTTTGGGTCCGGTTAAAGCGCCAGACATTCGCTTTTCGTCCTCTCATTTTCGTAAACAACACCCGTGGTGCGAGAAGGCAGTGAGTAGGACTTCTCTGGCAGAGGCTATATACACGTGGCCATGTGAGAGCATTTCGAGAGGGAGAGCGGACTCTCCCCACTCTCGGCCGTACTAGGACATTTGGGGAATACTGAGATTCGAAATTTTGCCTACACCATAATCAAAATGAATTGACAAAAACCAATAGAGCCTCCTGAATTGGTGCCAATATTTCATCAGACAACAAAACACTGACACTGATCAGACTTCCAAGATAAATGAAGTGACCAAAACGCTCAATTTTACAACTGAACGAAGAATAAATGAGTGGTAACTGCTAGGGATTATTTATGAACTATTAATACATATGTTCTTATTGGATAATTATTAAGTAACTAGATTATATCTACATTATTATTTATTTATATTTATATTAACACATAGATATTGGTACCAGGAGGCACCAAATACATATGCGCCACACGAATCTCAATTGATTTGTGTGAGGGCTGTGATACTACCCGGGTGCCCAAACCGAAGCAGGATATCTACATTCATATTCCTTTTATCATAAGCTTTCATTGAACCTATTGACTACTGTTATACAACTTACCATCTTCAATTTACTGCCAATTTGTTAGTTACAGTCTCTCACAATCATAGCCACTTTTGGCTTGATCTTGTCTAATTGTTATTTTTCATTTTATGGTGTGAGGTGGTCTGGTCTGCTTGTAAATAAACCACGTATATCTGAAATATACTATTCATACAGTGAAGGCTGGTATTCGTGTTCTGGACTGAACAAACTGGGTTAGGAGAGAAGCTACTGTACAAAGGACCACTAAAGACTCAGAGTTGACACAAGGTTACTAGTGATGGTTAGTGTATTACTGATTCAGCACTGAGACAAGGTCATATAAGCCGGTGTTCTGATTGGAGACTCTGTCATGTAATATTTGAATGGTTATAGGAAATAATATTCAACTACTTTGCTTCCTACCATTAGCCCAAACGTTGACACAGACCGGGCCCCCAAATGCCCTGGTACGGCCGAGAGTGGGGAGAGTCCGCTCTCCCTCTCGAAATGCTCTCACATGGCCATGCGTATATAGCCCCTGCCAGGGAAGTCCTACTCAATGCCTTCTCGTGGCGGGGGTGTTGTTTACAAAAATGAGAGGACGAAAAGCGAATGTCTGGCGCTTTAACCGGACCCCAAACCAATGGTGCACATGGGCTCCAGTATCCTGCGGGAACAAATGGCGTATGAACCAATCGTTGGTCACCGGCTACCATGGGACTGCATCTCCTCACGATGCTCCACTGCCTTGTGGGTCAGACGTTCAGGTCAAAGGCTCGGGGTGTGGCCCCCTAAGAAAACCACCTGCTTCGGTTTGGGCACCCGAGCAGTATCACAGCCCTCACACAAATCAATTAAGCTTTGTGTGGCGCATATGTATTTTGGTGCCTCCCTGTACCTATACTTATGTGTTAAAATAATAAATAATAATAATAATGACACAGACCAGTTGTGAAGAAGCATTTAGCATTTGGAGGGATGGAAATCCATCTCAATGCGCTTGCATCGTTGCTCAACGAGATATGAACGCTGCATTTATTAGCGTCCTCATTAAATAGCATTCTATCATTTACTCGTCAACAAGTGAGATCGATTCCTGAAAAGTTGGACGATGAAAGAGCTGCTGCTAGAAGAATGTCTATGACAAGATTAGGTAAAGAGGGAGACAGTAAGCAATCTTAACGAACACGCTTGAGATTGAAAATCTTTGATGACAGTTTGCCATAAACTCTGACTTAACAAATAACATGAAAATCTCGCATATATAAGAAACTCTAACATGTTTATCAAATATACGTCACTTAGTAAGTTTAAAATGGAATGGTGGTTTAGTAGTAAGCGATGGCGTTCGACTTCCGATCACTAGATCACAAGCTTTAATCTTGCTGCCCGCCTACTTCAGTTAAGGTATTCGGACAGTATATCACAAGTTCTCATTAAAGAGAAACAAGAAGTAAGATAAAGGTTAAGTATTCATGGGTAATAAACTTACACAAAATGTCCTGTACCATTGTTATCCCGTTTCACTGTAGTTGAGCTAGCATCCAAACTACTATTATTCCCTTGAGATGGTGTACCTAGTTGAGTAGACTGGGATAATAGTTCTTGTTCAGACTGTTTTTGTGGTGTATGCACTGGTGTCGTAGATTGTAATTTTTCTTCAGCTTTTTGTATATTTTCATTATTATTGTTATTAGTACTATTACTATTATTATTATGATTTGAATGATTTTGTGAAGTTGAATGCACCGGTTGATGAGTTTGTTGAGAGGATAGCATATTAAGTTGTGATGCTGACGATATGGAGCTTGGTAACAGAACAGTGGCGGCGGCAGCTGCTGCTGCTGCCGCAGCAACAGCGGCGGTCGACTGTTGTTGTTGTTGTTGTAAATGAACACCTGGATGACCTGTAAGTGTTTGAACATGTTGCATATGTACAGATGTATGTGGATGATGTGGTTGTTGTAATGAATGATGAATTTGAAACTGTTGTGGTGGTGGTTGTTGACCAGTTTGTTGTGTATGATGATGCGGATAAAAATGAGCAGTTGTAAATAAAGGTGCTAAAGAAGCGGAATTAGACACAGAAACCGCATTTGAACCGGATGCACCACCGACGCCACTGCCACCAATTCCAACTAATCCTGCTCCAGATGCAAAGAGATGATTAGCATTATTGACTTGATTTGCACCAGTCGCATTATTCAAAGTCATCATTCCGCTAGGTGTGGCTGATACAAGTCCACCAGTTAATAATTGTCCAGCAGTAGCATGACACGATGCTTGATTAATAATTGTTGCTTGATTACCACCACCACTACCACCAGGTGTAGACGAACCAATTGACATATGATGAGTAGTAGTATCGTTTGATTGTCCAGTATTGAACAATCCATTTGCGGCAGCAGCAGCAGCTGTGGGATATGGAAAATACATTAATTGACCAATATATTGTGATTGATCATATGGTAATACAGTTGGTAATGCAGCCGCTGCGGCAGTCTGTTGTAATGTTTGGAAAAATTCAGCATTTGGAAAGACACTTGGATGAGTTGAATGACCACTGGCAGCAACAACATTTTGAGCAATTGATTGAACAGGATGAATTGATGCAGATAAATGTGGCTGAGATAGTCGATGCAATTGAGAATGCTGACTTGGATTGTGTTGTAATTGTTGTGGTTGTTGTTGTTGTTGTAATAAATGTTGCTGGTGTTGTTGATGTTGGTGTTGTTGCTGTTGTAATTGAATTTGTTGATCAAACACATTTGTTGGTTGTAAATTATTTTGTGAATGTTGTTTTTGTGCTTGTGAATTGGACTGTGGGAATGCAGCTGCAGTTGCTTTCATTGTCACTACACTAGTTGCCCCACCACTTGACATACTGTGTGTGCTTTCAAATTAGTTCCAATTCAATGCTTTGATAAATAGATATATACAAAAAAGAAAATGTAATAAGCGAATGTTTAAATAAGATCTTTTCTTAAAAACAAAAAAAAAAACGATGAAAAAAAAACAACTTAATCTTTTTATAATAATTAATGTAAACATAACATGTTTACCAAATAACGTGAAATGAGTAAAAACACAATGTTATATTACTTAAATCATTATTTTTGCTTTTCATAAATTAAGAGAATTACCCATATGTACAAAACAAGTATTATGTATCATTATCAACATTGATCAAAGTTATCACATCTTATATCAGTACAATTAATAGATATCAACTAGATAAAATGATATTTTTCATTTCAGCTTTAAATGAATATGGAAACATGACAGATACCAGTTTATAAAAAAAATAATAAAATAAACATTCAGTTAAGAATAACATATAAATCAAAATTGAGTAAACGAATCCAAGTCTAAAAAAATTATTTTACAAATAGATATTATATAAATGATATTTATGATAGATTCAGATACACTTTGCTGAACTCAATAGCTAAGTGGATAATGCGATGGCATTTGAAGCGACCGGTACTGAATTCGAGTCCCAGAGTGAACATCAAATCTCAGATGCACGTACATATGGCTGACAAGTCTCAAATAGGATGAAACACACGTCCTGAATTCCACTGTTTGCCCCCCAAATACCCTGATACGGTCGAGAGTGGGGAAAGTTCGCTCTCCCTCTCGAAATGCTGTCACATGACCACGCGTATATATAGTCCTACTCACTGCCTTCTGGTGGCGGAGGTATTGTTTACGAAATTGAGAGAATGAAAAGCGAATGTCCGGCACCGGCTGTAAGCTTTAACGGGGTTAGTGGACACGGAGAGTCCACCTAAGGGAATTGGAAAACCCTGATTTCAAACCAATGGTGCAAATGGGCTCGAGTACCCTGAGGGAACAAATGGCTTATGAACCAATCATTGGTCACTGGCTACAATACGACTGCATCTCCTTACGATGCCTTTTAGATCAGACCTTTAGGTCGAAGCATCCGGATGTGACACCCTAAGAAATCCACCTGCTTCAGTTTGAGCACCCGAGCAGTACCAAGGCCCTCACACAAATCAAGTGAGTTTTGTGTTTTATTTATTTATTTTAACACATAAATATCGGTACAAGAAGGCACCAAATCAGTCAGTCAGCTGCAACGTAGGACCAGGCACGTATATGCATCGGTCCAAGTTGCCATACCGCATTAGCACAACAAGATGAACACCGGATTCATACAAGTAGTTAATTCAGTGGTGGTAAAATATAGAAGAAAGATTGCGTATAAGGAGGTAGTGCAGGAAGAAAGAATTAGTTCCTAGAAAGAAAGATTTGAAGTGATTTTAATCTCTTAGTTTAAAGGAAGACAGAGAGTGTATACACCGACGCCATTGTGATCGATTCTGAGCCATGTCACCAAGAGTCTGCAACCATTGGTTACGATAGTCACGCGGACCTCAACCAGGCAGTCTTAATCTACCAACATGGCTCAGACCAGAAGTTAGTGACTTCAAGCACTGATGCCACGTTTTGGTTTGGCCGCCCCTAACTTTCTTCCAGTCATCCCTAACACCGGTTAGCATTGCGAGTCGTGGTAATCAGTGTTCAGGCATACGTGGCACGTGGTCCAACCATCTTAGTGATAGTGATCGATTTTGTGTAATAATATGTAGTCAGTCAGTCAATATTATACGTGTGGCCTGGTATATGAGTTGACACCTTACAAAAGCATACCACGCAGGAAAACAACACAATAAACGATGAACAGGAAATAATATTTAATTAATCAATTTTACGTGCTTAGAAGGCACTCAATTAGGTATTCAGCTGTTTTATTTGTCTCAGGTGTAACGGCATTAGGCTCCTCGAACTGAAATAGATGGAACGAGGTTCAATCCTGCAATTCATTGTTTAAAAATCGATTGCTTTAGTACTTAATCACTGTTCGGACAAAAAACAATGATAACTACAATAGAAATGTAACGTGTTATATTAAACTCAAGTTTTAGAGGGATATAAGTGATAGATTCAATTGCACTACTGCAATCGACTATTGCAACCGGACATCTCCAGATCCAGACTACGACTTTCCTATACCTAATCAGGAAGTCTACATTAATCTGACAAACTAAGTGGAGTAACTAACAACTTCATGGACCTACACTATGTATTGAATTCGTTTCCCCTAGCTCAGCCAGAGTTGATCAGCGGAGTAGGAGGTGGTTAGATATGTGAAATGTGTCTTGACCAACTCTCGAAACAGTTTGCAGTTTTACCAATTAATTTATTATTATTATCTGTAGCCCCTAATCAATAGTTCAAAGGAGATATTAGAGACATAATTTGACTACAAAAGGTTTGCCGAATCTCTTTCAATAAGATAAAACCAAAGATGTAGAAAAGAGTGAGTACTGAAGGATTATTACTGGTTTCCCATACACTTAACGATTCTTTCAGGTATTTACAACAAGGCTAAAATACGTTTATTAGCAAATTGCACATGCAATCAAGTTCTAAGTTAAAATATCCAACCACATTAAGCAAAGAAACCAGCTAATTCAGAACAAAGTACTTCCTCATCATAATATGTAGCCAGGAAAATACTTATACACTTCGAATATCCTACTCGTTAATAATTTGTTGAAAGTACTTAAATTAAATTAAATAGCTATAACTAAAAGTTTATTCTAATACGTCTCATGCTTTTCTATCACCTATTTACAATTATCTTGTCCATTTATTTTTGTGCCAATTCTAGGAAGCATTACTAATTCAATCGAGGGATTGTTGTCACGGGTTTCTGAACGACCCTGAACTCAAAGAAAAAAAATAAATAACTTGGCACCAGTTTTTCATAGGACTGACCTAAACTTTTATCACATTGGCTTTTAAGGAAATCTTGACACTCAGTATGAAAAACTAGGCCCAGATCATGACGTTTAATTGCTAAGTTTATTTAGTACACTTACTAAATATCTTCTTGTGATCTGTCTCTATTTCAGCTAGTCAATCATGTAAAAAGTGGAACAGAGCAAGTATGTGCATCGATTTAAGTTGCCACACTACAGTGCCATAGACGAAATTATCAAGACAAATCCTATACTAGTGAGAGTAGTGACAGTATCAGTAGTAGTACGAAAGATTAGACATAGGATATGATTGAAGGATAGAATACGAATTCGTGGAATAAGGAAGTCTACAAGAAAATTTAGGGACTTAGGATCTAGAGAAAGACAAGATTGAACTCAAATGCATCAACTGGGATGATTCCAAGCCACATCATAGTCTCCAACCATTAGTTTTGATAATGAAGTGAACTCCAACCAGGTACCTTGCATCTATCAACGTGGTTCAGACTAAGAGACAATGATTTCGTGGACTGATGCTGTGTTTTGGTTTGACCCCCAATTTTATTCCAGCCTACTCTTACATCAGACAACCAATCCATGTTAATCGTGATTGGGTATACTTAATACATGTCCCAACTACCTCAGTTAACATCTGTATATAATTAAATTACACTCGCCTGTCTACTTAACTGACTAAATTTTAACAGCCACCAAATGCCCTGGTACGGTCGAGAGTGGGGAGTGTCAACGCTCCCTCCCCAAATACTCTCACATGGCCATGTGCATACAACTACTGCCGGAGAAGTCCTACTCACTGCCTTTTCGCGGTGGTGCCATTTTATACAAAATTGAGAGAACGAAAAGCGAATATCCAGAGCGTTAACCGGGTTAGTGGACACGATGAGTCCACCTAAGGGAGTTGGAAAACCCAATGAGGCACATGGGCACCAGGATCCGAAAGGAACAAATGGAGTATGAAACAGTTGTTGGCCACCAGCTACCATGGGACTGAATCTTCTAACGTTGCCCGACTACCTTGTGAAACAGATCTTTATGTCGAAGGCTCCGGGTACGACCCCCTAAGAAAACCACCTGCCCTCACACAAATTAAATGACGAAGTGCGACGCATACGTATTTGGTGCCTCCCTTCATCAATGTTTATATGTTTAAACAAAGAATATAAATAAATTTTGACATGTCCCAGCAGGGCTTGTTGTATTATTTGGTAAAATATTCCCTTGGTAAAAACTTTGTTGCTAGATCAATATTACGTAACTGGGTGACTTACCTTATGTTCGTAAGCTATAATTTGAACCTTACCTATAATATGAAGTGGTCTAACCAAACTAAAGTGAACAGAATAAGTCCAAATGTGACACTCGAACGTCAAATATTGAGTGTTTAAACTACTCAGATACAGCTGTTAGTGCTGCAAGCACCCTAGACATATTTGACAACTAGTAAAATCTTTTACTTCAATACGGCTATATAATGTAAAACTGTATTTAAGATACCTATGTAAAAACTCCCAAGTATGTAACATAGTATGAGTTAGTCACTTATAATCAACCTCGTGCCTGACACCATGTTAGTAATGCAGAGGTTCGGCATCATGTGTTCGGGCACAGAGACGATAATGCAATTGGTGTCACCATCTTGAAACATCGACTTCGGTGGCTTGGACATGTTCTACAAATGTCGTCCCAGAGAATTCCACGTCGTGCATTATTTGCCGACTCTGGGACTGGTTGGAAAAAGTGGAGAGGTGGTCAGTATATGACATGGTGTCGTGGTATGAAAGAAAGCTGAAAAGGGCTGGCTTGTATTGGTCCTTCACGACTTCTGGCTGGGGTCCGAGAGATGGTGTAACACAGTGGCTAGAGATTTATCAGATATGGCTCAGAATAGAAGCCAGTGGCGATCCTGCTGTAACCTTCTTTTACTTTCTTCATAAGAAATGGTTGCAACTTCATTAACTGAAAGAATTCTTTCTGGTTGTACCTTTCCGTTTCTCCCATTATTATGACACTGCCATACACTAATCTGTGGTCGTTATTGTTCTCTTTTTTTTATAATTCCCTACGCTCCTTACATTTTTTCCCTTCTCTTTAAATTCTCATTGTTTTGTGTGGTACATATATATATTTGGTGCCCCCTTGTACCAATATTTGTGTTCAAATAAATAAATAACCTAGTAGCTTCAAACTTCTACTCCAGTCAACATTATACATCGAGGAGGATAGTACATGATGTGACTACAAAGCAGTTACATTTGTTCCCCATTATACTTTGTTTCAACATCAATCAACTACTGGGTTCCAAAAATGTATGCCGAGAATCTAACATCCCTTCTCAAAAATAATAGCCGACAAACACACCTTTACGATTAACAGGGTTTCGTCATTCAGAACACCATTTTGAGAAGCTGCTATCGAGAATTTTGTACGACTTCATATTATTTCGGAGCATATACGACACGCCTAACTTAATAAACAGTGTATAACGTGATGTGTAGACACATCAGTTAAACTGCGTCTGATGGATAAGATAATATATTCTCACGCTAAACTTCATTTAGTATGGCCATTTTTAACATTATGGAAGAAAAGTAAGGAAATAAAAATCTAACAAAGTTAAGATTGCTTATATACACTGAACCATCAATAAGCTAACTTCACTATAATTTACGTACAAATCAATCAGGTATAAGATAAAAGGTATCAGATTTTGGCGCGAAATCTACTCAACCATTTGGCTAAATAAAGTCTTGGCATTATAGCTTACGTCAGTTCGTGTTGAAAACCCGAAATCTAATTCCTGACATTAGCCATCAACTGTAAATCGTAATTCGAATTCCTCATACTAATTTATAACCCTCAT